CTGTGAGTCACCTTATTGGAATTGACATGAACAACCACTCGAAGAAGAAAAAACTGTTACTCATCTTCTTGTAACTGTTGTTCTTTGAGATGTGGTGTTCATGTCCATTCTAATACCCACCCTCCTTACCCCTCTGTCAGATTAGCCAGCAAGAAGGAACCTGAAGAGGTGGCGGGTTGGCAGGGCCATTTATTGGGCGCCCAGGGGGTGCTCAGGCTGACCCCACGGATGCTGCTGGGGAAAAATCTTCCAGCTACTGTGCACGTGTGCGCGCACACACCTGATTGGAATGGACATGAACAACATATCTTGAAGAACAACAGTTATGAGAACATGAGTAACCGTTCTTGTCCTGCATCTTTATCTATGATTTGAACCTGAATACAAAGTATTCAGGACAGCTTTGTTTTATTTTTGGAGGTGGACTCTCATATAGATGAAGTAGAGGATTAACAAGCCAAACAAAACACAGAACCTGAATCTTGGCTGATAGTTCAGTCTCTAAGCTCATTCAGTCCTTTCCCCTCTCTACAGAGAATCTCAATATGTGTTCCAATTCTGGGTGTGACGTTTTCCAGTGTCCCTTTGTTTGTCTCGATGAGTGAGCTATAGATGGGAACAACTGAAGTTCTAGTGATATAACTGTAAATAGGGGCTTGCTGGATTCACATGTTAGTATGCAGTGGTGGTGTAGCAGTGTTTTTTCCCAGGATGTTAGAGACACAAAAAGTGGATGAGAGAATCTTTTATTGGACCAACTTCTGTTGATGAGAGAGGCTATGTACACACTACAGTTTAAGTGGATATAAATTATGTCACTCAGGGATGTGAATAAAACAACTCCCTGAGCAAAGTAAGTTACACTGACCTAAACACCAGTGGGGACAGCTCTCCCACTGACATAGCTACTGCCACTTGCTGGGGCCGGAGCAATTAAGTCGATGGGAAAGCTCTCGGCTTAGAGCATCTGCGTTAGTACTTCACAAGCAGTGTTACAGCTAGGGTGACCAGATGTCCCAATAAAATCGGGACTGTCCTGATATTTAACCCTTTGCCCCGCGTCCCAATCAATTTATGATTGGACGAGCACGCACCCAGCAGAGGGGAAGTAGGCGCTGTAGGGGTGAGTGGCGGGCGGGGGGGGGTGAAGAGGCGAGCAGCAGGCGAGCGAGCGGGCGGGGAGGCGAGCAGTGGGTGGAGTACTGAGGAGGGACGCAGCAAGCCAGCGGCAACCGGGGGATGAGGAAGGGGGGGGGGAGGGCGAGTGGGTGGGACCTGGGGCAGAGTGGTGGCAGAGCCTGGGAGGAGTGGGCGTGGACTGTGGGCGGGGCTGATGGCACCCCAGTGTGTCCCGATATTTTAGTGTGGTGATCTGGTCACCCTAGTTACAGCTGTGCAACTGTTTCGGTGCAGCTGAGCTGCTGTAAGCTCTGTAGTTAGCCATAGCCTGAAGCAAGCTTTCGAGATTATACAGAGCTCTTCTTCAGGTTTTCCAGACCTGAAGAAGAGCTCTGTGTAGCTTAAAAGCTTGTCTCTCTCACCAATATTACCGCACCCACCTTGTCTCGCAAATGTTAGTAGCAGTTTCATGCCATGAACAGGTTTGAGCAGCCTTGGTATTTGTTCTTAAGCAACTAAGGTTTGGCTGTGTTAAAATTAGGCTAGTTCCCTTGTTGTTTGCTTTTACAGTAGTACCTTGATAAACCGTGTATGGACACATGTTCTCAGCTCAGGTATATTACTAGATCCTAGGTTGCTGCTGGATATCTGAGTTAATGGCTATCGCCTTTTCTTATCTGGATCTTGTAATGATTATTTATGCCTTTGTCACCTCAATATTAGATTGATGTACTGTCCTTTCACTGGTGCTACACACCTGAGGCTGTGTCTGTATGGCCTCACAGTTCGGACTACGGGGTGTGTGAATAGCAGCGTGCTGAAACTCCCCTGTGTGGAAGCTGTGGGCACAAACTATAAGGTTCCTAGTTTGTGTTTGATGTAATTTTTTTCAAACAGAACTACACTAATGCCAACTAGGAACAGTTTACTTTGCACCCGGTGAGTTCATATGGGGAAGTTACAGTGCAGCACTTCAGCGTGCACTGCTATTCACACCCCCTGTGGGGTAGTGTAGACAGAGCTTTAGACCGTTCTGAAGCTGAAACTAGTGCAGCAAATGGTAGTACACTTACTAGTGCAGTTTGACATCAGGAGCACAGTTGCACCTGTGCTGTGTGATCTTTGCTCGTGGCCAATATGTTTTCAGGTGGAATTTGAGGTATTAGTTTTAACTTACAACCAATAATTTGTACATTGTAATATTAACTGTTGATATGCAGGTAGACTGGTTTGTGGAAGGAAGCGCATACTAATTTTTTTTAAAGTGACCTTGGCAATGGCTCTCTTGCTAATCTAGCCTTTATCCCCAGTAACATATGGAACAAATATTGAAAGAGAACCAATCAAGAAAAATCAGTAAAAGAACTGAACCATAAATAGTAGGCAGCATGGCTTTCTGAGGAACAGATATTGCCAGACTTGAATTGCTGTTTTTATAGAATTTCAGAATTAGGAGATGAAGGTAAATGTGTACATATCTTTAGGGTTCTTAAAGCTTTAGATATAGTCTCATGAGAGATTATTTTCCACTAATTCCTAATGGCTTCAATATTATCATGTACATTTAAAACTGGATGAAGAACAAGAGCTGTTAAGAGGGTAATTATAAACACTAAAGTACCAAGTTTTGTGACTGGATTGTTAGTTATCACAGAGACTGGTGTTAGTCTTGTTTAATATCTTCATTAAAGAAATTGTTGACTGATACTAATAGAAAGTTGAAAATAAATTTTATTTTCTGAGTTGATCCTCTTTCTCTCTGGCAACTTTTTTTTTCTTGTGTATAGAATGCAGCTTTTTTTAGTTTATTCTTATATATTCTCTAGCATCGTTGGTGTTTTCAGCACCAATCTGGCAGTAGTTTAATTACTAATACACAATCTGCACATAACACCTAAGATTTGTGTATGTGCAAATGCTACAATGGGGTGGACAAAACACAGCCCATTATAGGCTGTAGTGCAGGGGTTAACAGATTAGATATCTTTCTGTGGTTTCTTTAGTTGTTTTGTTACTGTTACCTTAAAGATTGAAGGAGCTGCAAAGGGGGGGGAGAGAAAAAAACCACACATGTATTGGTAGGGAAGAGTGTGGAAGGATGAAGGGTGCAGGTTGGGAATGGAAAGAAATGCCATCTCTTTAACAGACACTCAGGCAAAGAAAATGGTTTCTCCTGCCCGACTAAAATAACTATGAAAATATTTCAGTAATGAAGGAATAACTTTTTAAGCTATTTTTTCCCTAGCTGTTTAATTTAAGAAGACCTTTCTTATCTTCATGTTATAATCACTTTAAGAGAGAGAAAATTTGGTTCTAAGATACTGTATTTGATTCTCTTTTTTAACCTAGCTTTTGGTTTCTTTACAAACAAGTTTTGTCTTCCAGGTCTTTTGACAAGGCCAGCATTGTGGTGTTTTTGCCATATCTCATACCTCTCCTCTTCGTTATGTTTGGCTCACAGCAGCACTCTCGACTACATCCATTGGCAACACTAAAATAGTGATGTAGCTTTGTTTCTGTGTGTGCAGAATCCAGCAGAGTTAGGTTTTCGATCTCTGTGGTTACGTCTTCACTACCCGCCTGAATCGACGGGTAGAAATCAATCTCTCGGGGATCGAATTATCGCGTCTCGTCGGGACGCGACAATCGATCCCCGAATCGATGCTTGTACTCCACCAGCGCAGGTAGGAGTAAGCGCCATCGACGGCGCGGGAGCAGCGGAGGTCGATTTGCCGCCGTCCTCACAGCGTGGTAAGTCGGCTCAGATACGTCGAATTCAGCTATGCTATTCGCGTAGCTGAATTGGCGTATCTTAAATCGACCCCCCCTTCCCCCCGTAGTGAAGACGTAGCCTGTGCCATGTATTGGTTTAATTATATGGATTCATTCCCATCCTGCAGGCTAGTTCCTCATGAGAAGTCCCATTCCTAGGGCACTGAGATGTGAAAAACTGTTCCCTTTTACAGTGAATCTATTGGTTTATTTTTCTCTACATTTTAAAATAAATAAATGGTGTATGTATTGATGATGATACTATATACAGTGGCAAAATAAATCTTGGTACACTTATCATTCTACTAAAATTATAGGTGACAAATTTTACCTGGAGTAGAAACTTGCTTTTTGTGTTCGTATCATTTTTTTGTAATTACTACATTTATTGTCTGAAATTGTATAACTTTGCTACAAATAGAACTTTGAAAGGGTATGTGTATTGTACAGTACTAAGTATATTTAATTTGTTTGAAAATTCTTATATCATAAAAAATATTTTTCAGCATATTCGTTTTTAAACAGGCTCCTAATAGATTTAACCATGAAAAGTGTTAGAAATATTTCCAGGTGTAACAAAAGATAGAAAAAGAGGAGCTAGCATAGTAAGGATTCTTCCAATGAAGATTTTCTATCATGGGAGTGAGTGAAGAATAAACTGGCTAATCACAATCCATTTTTCTGTAGCTAGCTGCCAACATAAATGGAAGAGAAAACACTAGCATTTATAGGTGTGTGTTCAGCTACCCACTGTGGTAGATCACTGCAATTTTTCTCTTCTACCAGCAGGAAACATTTCTTATGTAAGTTGTTTTCTTATTTTAAATGATGTCCTGCGTATGGGATTACAAAAACAGCTGTGCCATATCTCAGATATGTAGTCACCTTTGCTGGCTTCCTTTACACATGCTGCAGAGCTCTATTGATTGTAAAACCCAGAAAGGGGGTGAGGCAATTTTCTTTATCACATACCACAGTGCTGATGGTAAATATTGTGAATATATGCCATTGTTTTTCTTTGCGTTCTGTAAAACAAGATCTGCTGATGCTAATTTTACCATTCATTTCTTTCTAGGCATTAAATAGCTTCCTGGAAACTAGGACAAGTATGTAAGAAGTCCAGTCAGTCAATGTGGATTTCTCCTGTCAAAAGTCTTCAGTTTTGCCTACCACAGACCCTTTAGATACTCTTCTCTGTGCCATGCTCTGTGGCTCTCATCACAAGAGGAATTTGTCTTCATGAAGATTCTTAACATTGGTAATGTGATGAATAAATTTGAGATCCTTGGGGTTGTAGGTGAAGGTAAGTCAGTTGTTCTTAATGAAATATTAATTAGAATTAACAGAATTCAGAGGCTATTTATATATTATTCTATTATTAAACAGAAAAAAATAAAGCCTGTTCCCATTAGATGAAATTCTGCAAAATGTTATTTCTCAAGATGACTTTAATGTTGGCAGTCATTTGTTCTTAAAAATAAATCATTGTTATCCAGGCCACAAACAATTTTATTTCTCAGATTTCTACAACAATTTCTATGCTTAACTATGGACATTACAGAGCTAGACAAAATTATTTGCATATATAAGTTAACATATTAAGTAATAAAGCCATTGTCTCATTTTTAAGTTGTCAGGATGTCCTAAAAAAATGGAAAAACTATCTTACTATTACAAATCCAACTGAACCCTGATATGTCAGGGTGTGAAAAAACCATACCTTGAGCGGCGAAGTTAAGCTGACCTTAGTCTCTGTGTAGACAGGCAGCGCTAGGTCAACAGAAGAATTCTTATATCAATTTAGCTGCTGCTTCTCGAGGAGGTGGATTACCTGTACCAATAGGAGAATGCCGCTACAGCTGTGCCGCTATAGCATTTTCAGTGTAAATAAGCCCTGAGAGATGCCCTAAAAGTAAACAAAAAGTTAGAGGTACCAGAATGTACATGAAATCACACATTTTTTTCTGGTTTTGTTGTTTTTTTTAAAAACAAGTCCATTAGTTGGCTATCTACACTACTGCCACTTATTATAGGAATATGCAGTTATTCCAAATTTTCTTGCATATGCATATTTCTAAAAATAAGGAATTCACAGAAGAATTTTAAAATCATACTTACAAGCAGCTTCCTTTTTAAATTTTGCTACACAAAAATGTAACAAAGCATTTTAGATATAAGTGTAAGAAGATAGTATTAGGAACAATGCATCCATAATACATATTAGACAGCTGTGAAATGTAGTGTATTTTGCTTCCTTTTCCCACAGCATGGTAATTAATCTGTTTGTTTGTTTTTTCTTTTGTGTTTCAGGAGCCTATGGGGTTGTACTTAAATGCAGACACAAGGTAAATAGAGTGCTTTTAATTGTACATAGATGTTGATCCATGGACGAAAGCAAGAATGAAATTTTAAACATGGAGAGTGAGACCTGGGTTGTTAATATATATTAGACGTACTTTTTGCTGCCTTCTTTGGGACAGGCCTTGGCCTGCAATCAGTTGTTCAAGGTCCTGATTTGACTATATTGTGACAGGAAACAGCTGCATCTAGGGTAAGCTATAATCAAAAAGACAGAGCTTAATTTTATAAATTCTAACACAAAAATTATTGAACAGAAATTCAGAGAACATATTAAGTGTTACTAGTCTGATCATGCTTCAGATGTAGTCCTGGGAATTAATATTGAGAGTTGGATAAAAGAAAAATATTGTTGAATGATTCAAAACATTCTAGTAGAGTCTATTGTTGTGTAATTAATCATATCTTGCTAATACGATATATCTGGTTGTTTCTGTAACGTGGCAACAAATTGTTCAGCACCGATACATGGAATTTCCACGGCTGCTGTTTGATAATCTAACTGCAGTAAAAGAATATTCACTTTAATCTGGCAAAGGACAAATAAAAAACAGAAAAAACAGTTTTGAAAATGCAAATGGAGTTTGAAATTCAGTGTGCCTGAAACAAAATGAATCGCTTAATGTATCTGGGAATGTGTGATGAGGTTGCTCATTCCTTATCTTAGTTGCTGTGCTTTTGGACATGATATACTATATTTGCGGATTGCCAAAAAATATAACTGAGGCCCATGTAAATTGGGTTTCTTGCATAAATTCCAATTTTGCCATCTGGTTAGCGCGTGTGTGTGTGTGTGTGTGTGTGTGTATATATATATATATATATGCTTTCATGGGATCAGTGCAAAGGAAATGAAGAGTGGTGCTGATGTGAAGGGAGAGAAGGATCAAAACTGACAAAAAGTTAGGAGGAACTTGTCCAAGAAATAAATACCCCATTCTCCCTTCCAACTGTGCAGTTAAGATACCAAAATGTCTAGTGTAAACTGTCTACTAAAGATAGTCTATTTACACTTTCATTTTCTTCTTATTGCTTTGTCCCTCTTGCCTTTACTTGAACAGCTATTTAAAATAAAATAAAAATTGTAGAACATGTAATGCCTACCTCCTAAATCTAGTTTCAGATGTTTAAATTCAATATGGGATACTTAATCCTTAAGGATTATATGAAATTGCCATTTATAGGTTGACTATCTTGACTATGTATTATAAAATTAGTAGGCCTGTCAAGCGATTAAAAAAACGTAATCACGTGATTAATCACACTGTTAATAGAATACCATTTATTTAAATATTTTTGGATTGTTTTCTACATTTTCTAATCTATTGATTCAATACAAATGTACACTGCTTATATTTATTTTTGATTACAAGTATTTGCACTGTAAAAAAACAAAAGAAATAGTATTTTTCAATTCACCTAATACAAGTACTGTAGTGCAGTCTCTTTATCCTGAAAGTTGAACTTACAAATATAGAACTGTACAAAAAACCCTAACATTTTAGAGCCTGCAAGTCCGCCCAGTCCTACTTCTTGTTCAGCCAATTGCTCAGACAAACAAGTGTTTACACATTTGCAGGAGATAATGTTGCCCGCTTCTTGTTTACAATGTCACCTGAAAGTGGCACTGTTTTAGCCGGTGTCGTGAGATATTTATGTGCCAGATGCACTAAAGATTCATATGTCCCTTCATGCTTCAACCACCATTCCTGAGGACATGTATCCATGCTGATAGCATCTGCACGATAACAATCCAAATCAGTGCGAACCGACGCGTGTTCATTTTCATTATCTGAGTCAGATGCCAGCAGCAGAAGGTTGATTTTCTTTTTTGGAGGTTCAGGTTCTGTTTTGTTCTGAAAGCATGCTCCACACCTCATCCCTCTCGGATTTTGGAAGGCACTTCAGATTCTTAAACCTTGGGTTGAGAACTGTAACTGTTTTAGAAATCTTACATTGGTACCTTCTTTGTGTTTTGTGAAATCTGTAGTGAAGTGTTTTTAAAATGAACAACATGTGTTGGGTCATCATCCGAGACTGCTATAACATGAAATATATGACAGAATGCAGGTAAAACAGAGCAGGGGACATACAATTCTCCCCCAAGGAGTTCAGTCACAAATTTAATTATCACATTATTTTTTTTAACAAGCATCATCAGCCAGGGCCTCCCAGAGGATTCAGGGGGCCTGGGGCAAAGCAATTTTGGGGGCCCCTTCCATAAAAAAAAGTTGCAATACTATAGTAACATGTATTTGGAAATGTAAAAAAAAAAACTAGTGAAATACATTCAAAAATTAATTTGTAATAATTTGAAAATACACTAAATACATTATTTAAAAACATTAAATGCTTTAATGGTATGTATACATTTGCAATTACATAATGGGCTGTTGCTGGGTGATTGGTGCCAATGGGCTGTCGCTGCCTGGGGGTGGTGCTGCTGTTGCCCAGGGCTGGGTGGGGAGCTGGGCTCTGGGTTGGGGGGTGCCCGGCTCACAGGGGCTGGGCTCAGGGCTGGGGGGAGCGGGGGTCGGGGGGGGGGTGGGCGGGGGGGGGGGGGGGGGGCTCGGGGCTGGGGGTCAGGGCTGTGGGGGGTCGGAGGAGTTGCCCAGCTCAGAGGGGCTGGGCTCGGAGTTGGGGGTCAGGGCTGTGGGGGGATGGGGTCGGGGGGTGTCCAGCTCAGAGGGGATGGGCTCGGAGCTGGGGGTCAGGGCTGTGGGGGGATGGGGTTGGGAGGGTCTGGCTCAGAGGGGCTGGGCTCGGAGCTGGGGGTCAGGGCTGTGGGGGATGGGGTCGGGGGATGCCCGGCCCCTTACCATGCCACTTACCCCCTCTCCCACGTCCAGCGGCGTGGTGTCTCTAGTGGGGCCTGAGTTCCCGCCGCTCGGCCGCAGCTTGCAGCCCCGCCCCCTTACTGGCTGAGACGCCAGGCAACGGGGGAAGACGGAGGCGGGGGGAGCCTCCGACATACTCGTGGGAGCCCCTGCGGGGCCCGGGGCCTGGAGCAAATTGCCCCACTTGCCCCCCCGGGCGGCCCTGTCATCAGCATGGAAGCATGTCCTCTGGAATGGTGGCTGAAGCATGAAGGGGCATACGAATGTTTAGCATATCTGGCACGTAAATACCTTGCAATGCTGGCTACAAAAGTGCCATGCAAATGCTTGTTCTCACTTTCTGGTGACATTGTAAATAAGAAGAGGGCAGCATTATCTCCTGTAAATATAAACATACTTGTTTGTCTTAGTGTTTGGCTGAACAAGAAGTAGGACAGAGTGGACCTGTAGGCTCTGAAGTTTTATATTGTTTTGTTTTTGAGTGCAGTTACATAACAAACAAACAAAAAATCTACATTTGTAAGTTGCACTTTCATGATCAAAGATATAGTATTTTTCAGTTCACCTCATACAAGCACTGTAGTGCAATTTCTTTATTATTTTTACAGTGGAAATATTTGTAATATTGATTTCAATTGCAACACAGAATACAATATATATGAAAATGTAGAAAAAACATCCAAAATATTTAATACATTTCAATTTGTATTCTATTGTTTAACAGTGCGATTAAACTTGTGATTAATATTTCGAGTTAATCGCGTGAGTTAACTGCGATTAACTAACAGTCCCAAAAATTAGGAATAAAAATGTTTAAAAGTTTCAGATAGTACAAAATAACTAATTTTTAAGAAGAGTTCTCTGAAAGGCAAACATTCTGCTGTAAAACAGTTAAGTTCTTGGAACATCTCTTCCTCCATGATTGTCTAAGCTGGGTATATTTCTCCCATTTTGCAGCTCCGAGTGTGACTACACATTAATAATACTACTACTAACATAAAGGGTAAGATTGAGGTACTATGCAATGATATGCTGCTCTTCCATTTCTGCACAGTTTAAAAACTTTTTCCTATGGCTGCAAAGAGAACTGTAAATCAAATACGTTGTCATTTGAATCGAGTCTGCAGGTGGCCTGTAATTAGCTTTAAGGGTCAGGAACTTCTGCCATTCTTCTCAGAGAAATGACAGCTCTGAAACCTAACGATAACAATTGTAAGGGCTGCCACTTAAAAAAGAAAATCCATTTGCAAGCCAAAAAGAAAAACCAAAAAACCGTACAGTTGTGCACTTTGAGATGTACAAGTAAACAAACACTGAAGTACTGATTTTATATGCAAATTTCATATTTATTCCAGGAAATGGAGATTTAAATACTAAATAGCTAGTTTTCATGTACCGTTGCCTGATTCATCACAAAATTATGGTATTTGTGTATGAATGTGAATGTACACATTCTTGGATACAGAAGTGTTTGTCTTTTTAAAATGTGACCCTGCCACACATGTCAACGTTTTTACTACTTCACTACTGATTAGTTTGATTTAAAACGTTTATTTTTATGAGTGAGTGAAATTTGGAGTTGCGAGTGGAAAGCAAGTTCCCCACACACTCGCGCTCAGTTCAGATCCTTGTATAACACTTTACATACTAGGCCTCCTCACTTTGTGTGATTGGAATAGAAATTGCTTATCTAAAATGAACGGCGTTTCAGCTTTTTTAAAGTCTATATGTCATGTAGGCCAGTTCAGTGAGAGTCAAGTTAGGCATGTGTGTTGGCTGTGGAAAAAAAAGCTCCGATTATGCTGTATCACAGCCTTTCATTTCACTGATAGATGTGACATGCTGCATTATTTATCTCATATTTTAAATAAGTAATTTTCATTTTCCTTCTGTATAGCTTAAAAATACAATGGGCAGATTTAGTGCTTATGAAAATGATGGACTGATAATAGTGGCCTGACTCACGTTTAATGCTGGTAGGGGCTGTGTAAGCTTCCCAACACAGCTGTGCCAATGCAACTCAGTCCTGATCCACAACATCCATATTATTCCAGTAAGAGTCTCTTGGACATAGACTGGAAATCCTACCAAATTGTCGGAAGTTTACCTTCTTCCCCAGTAATGATCCCTCAGCAAATGCAGTTTTCCTT